GATTTTTTTAAAAAGAACCTCTGGGTTAGACCTTGCAAGTCGCCTGAGTATTTGGTGACCTTTTCCCAGTTTTTCTTTCCAACTTTTGGTAAGATGTTTGCCTTTCCTACAGCAACAGTTAACACACTGAACAACATGCAATGGCTTGTTTACAAATTCATTGAGAGGTTAATCCTTAACTTCTATCCATCTTACAATGAAACAATTGGTTTTTATGAATTTGCAGCCCTGGAAAAATTCATAAAGACCTTCCCCTCCCTGAACCGGACGCCCCTCTCTCCTCCTCAGACACCCCTCTGCTTCTCCAGCCCAGATTCCAGGAAGTGTCACCCGTAACAAATGACTAGCGAAAGGAATCCCCAGTTTTTACAACCCCCAGCTTTACTTCAGAAGAGTGTTTTCATCCAGCCCTGGGAAGTATTACTTTCTGCTCGCGTGTAATTAAAACCCCAGCCCTCTATTCAAGAATGCGCTTGCAGCAATCTCTTCATTGTCTCTTGGAGCTTGAAAGTGTTCTTCCTTCACAGGGCTTACGGGAGCGTACGGATCCCAGAGACATTGGTAGTCATTGTCCCCCCGGAAATATGACACTCGAGATGGATAGCTCGCTTTCACTGGGTTAGGATTTAATGGAGGGTAAAGTTTTTAATCTGCTTGTTGGAAGCTTAATATTCCTAAGAAAGAAAAGATACTTTACAGTCTCAGCAAAAGCGTCTTCCTTCCTTCCCTCCTTCCTTCCTTCCTTCCTTCCTTCCTTCCTTCCTTCCTTCCTTCCTTCCTTCCTTCCTTCCTCCTTCTTCTTCTTCTTCTTCTTCTTCGTGGACTTTAAAGACTTTTTCATGTTTTCTTATCAGGACCTATTTGTTACAATAATCTCAAATAACATCAATTTTCCCACTCTTAATTACCAAATACATATGCAGCACACACAAACATTTTTAAGCCACAAAGAAGCAAAACAAATCACTGGGAAAATCAACACCTGGGGAACCCGGAGGCACTGTGATGGGTCTTCCACACCATAATTTGAGTGTGAACGCGAACTCGGAGCAGACATCCGACTAGCAGAAGGCATCCTATCCTTAAGTGGATCCCATCAGGAAGGCCTCGTTCCCTAAGGACTTGAAGTGGAAGCAGAATTCTAAGCCTGTCTTTCTTAATTTTGTCGGGTCAGGACGCCTTCGATAATCCCGTGTTATTTTGGCGGTTGGATTTTTGTTTGTTGTTTGTGTGATTAATTTATTTAAAAGAGGTAATCCATTCACCATCCATGTGGTTCTATATTCTAAAGGTACAAAGAGCTATACCATGAAAAAATTCTGTGCCAGCCCTCAGTCCCCACCCTGGAGGCCTCCACCTTTTATTAGTTTCTTATACATCTTTCTGGAGATTTCTATACATTCACAAGAAATATTTTTATACCCTTTTGTATTTGTTGCTTCAAAGGAAACATGTTAGCCACACTGATCTGTATTTGCTTTTTTCACTTCCATATACATCTTGGCATCAGAATAGAGAGAGCTATCTACCACATTTTTAAAAAGAGCTGCATGGTATTTCAGTATGTGGCTGTACTTAATGTTCTTAACCATGAAATGTATTGCCATCTACTCTTTTTTTTTTAAATAACAGTGATGTTGCAATGACTGTTTTAAAGACAAAAGTATAATGTAGCAGCGACCTGAGTGCCACCCCCACCACCCGAATCAAGACCAAGACCTGGGCCCAGCTCCCCTCCCCACGCCCACTCCTCACACCCTGCCCAGCCCGCCGCCAGCCTCCTTGAACCCGGGAGCTTCTTCTTCTTCTTCTTCTTCGTGGACTTTAAAGACTTTTTCATGTTTTCTTATCAGGACCTATTTGTTACAATAATCTCAAATAACATCAATTTTCCCACTCTTAATTACCAAATACATATGCAGCACACACAAACATTTTTAAGCCACAAAGAAGCAAAACAAATCACTGGGAAAATCAACACCTGGGGAACCCGGAGGCACTGTGATGGGTCTTCCACACCATAATTTGAGTGTGAACGCGAACTCGGAGCAGACATCCGACTAGCAGAAGGCATCCTATCCTTAAGTGGATCCCATCAGGAAGGCCTCGTTCCCTAAAAACTTGAAGTGGAAGCAGAATTCTAAGCCTGTCTTTCTTAATTTTGTCGGGTCAGGACGCCTTCGATAATCCCGTGTTATTTTGGCGGTTGGATTTTTGTTTGTTGTTTGTGTGATTAATTTATTTAAAAGAGGTAATCCATTCACCATCCATGTGGTTCTATATTCTAAAGGTACAAAGAGCTATACCATGAAAAAATTCTGTGCCAGCCCTCAGTCCCCACCCTGGAGGCCTCCACCTTTTATTAGTTTCTTATACATCTTTCTGGAGATTTCTATACATTCACAAGAAATATTTTTATACCCTTTTGTATTTGTTGCTTCAAAGGAAACATGTTAGCCACACTGATCTGTATTTGCTTTTTTCACTTCCATATACATCTTGGCATCAGAATAGAGAGAGCTATCTACCACATTTTTAAAAAGAGCTGCATGGTATTTCAGTATATGGCTGTACTTAATGTTCTTAACCATGAAATGTATTGCCATCTACTCTTTTTTTTTTAAATAACAGTGATGTTGCAATGACTGTTTTAAAGACAAAAGTATAATGTAGCAGCGACCTGAGTGCCACCCGCACCACCCGAATCAAGACCAAGACCTGGGCCCAGCTCCCCTCCCCACGCCCACTCCTCACACCCTGCCCAGCCCGCCGCCAGCCTCCTTGAACCCGGGAGATCTTTGAAAGGGAGATGGAACAACTTGAGTCCTAAGTGGACACCTGCTGGCCGGGGAATGAGGGCAGGATCCTGTCACTTAGCGGAGTTTGCTGCCCATTAGCAACTCTCCTGGCCGCAGGAAGGCCAGCTCCTCCTCCTCCTTCAGCCTGGAGCTGTTTCCTGGGACAGTGGTTCTCAGACAGGGACCGTTCTCCCCACAGGGGACATTTGTCTGTGTCTGGAGATACTTTGTATTTTATTTTTACTTTATTTCATTTTCCTTTTGGTTAATCCTCATCCGAGGATATTTTTTCCATTGATTTTTAGAGCGGAAGCAAGGGAAGGAAGGGGGAAGAGAGAAGAGAGAGAAATATCCATGTGAGAGAGACACATGAATTGGTTGCCTCCTGCACTCACCCTGACCAGGGCCGGGGATCGAACCTGCACCCAAAGTATAGGCCCTTAATCGGGATTCGAACCCGAGACCCGTTCGTGTGCAGGATGACACTCTACTTAGCATACCGGCCAGGGCTGAAGACAGTTTTGATGGTCACACCTGGATGGTGCTACTGGCATCTAGTGGACAGAGGGCAGGGATGACAGCCCCCACTACAGAGAATGATCCAGCCCCAAATGTCAGTAGGACCAAGGTGGAGAGACCCCGCCTGGAAGCGGTGCTCCTTTTTGCCTGGTGCCTCCTCTGTTCTTATATTGATTCCTGGCTAGTCCTTCAGACCAGGTGCCCTTCCCGCATCATCAACTGGCCCCTTCAGGCCCTCCCTCTGCAGACCCAGGGTCTCCTGCTTGGGGATCACACCCCAGGGTCCCAGGGAAAGACATCCCACCTCCTCACTATGAAATGTGCTGGCTGTGCCCACTCAGAATGCACCTTAGCAAGACTCTGCCCTTGTTGAATCTGTCCCTTCCTCAGAGCCCCTGCCACTGACCCCACCTTTGGGCCACCACATGGCCCTGGTCTACAGAAGGCAGCCAAGAAGTGACCTTTAAACTAACCTGAGGACTTCGGGCAGGAAACAGAGGTGTGTTGGAGATGGCTGAGGCGTTGATGGCTGTCACACTCCCTAGGGCTGCCTCTGACATTGGGTGGGTGGGTCCAGGGTGACAGATGTCCTCCATGTGACGGACAGCCCCACATCACAAAGAGAGAACCGGGGCCTTGCCCAGCTTCCCAATGTGTCATGGGCGTTCATGTTAGACCCCTGGCTCATCTGCAAGAATATCACTGCTGTGTGCACAGCGTTCATCAGTAACTTCCCGGGCCCGTTGTCCCAGCCCTAACTCGGGCCATTTGCATGTTCTCTTCTCTGGTACAAACAAGTCTGGCCTCTTAGTTCCAGTTGTAATTATGTCCGCGCACACACTTACTCTTTCTTTTTCCTGTTCCATGTAGCTCCTAAACCCACGCTCATTGTTTGGAAGAATGGTCAGGTTTCTTTCTGATGCTTTTCTAGAAGGGTCCTCCCACGCATTTGGATAGGGAAGTAAACGTGAGCATTCTTACCCAGAAACAAAGAGTCACTACTTCTGGGATGCCTTCCCTGCCCGGATCCTCCTCACATCTAGGTCAGGGCTGCTGCTACCCGCCTCGCTGTGCTGAGAACTTCTCCAACCTGCACTCGCCAAGGCAGGTACCTGGTTCCTGCTACACATTTGCTCAGCACCTGATTGCCCCTCCCCTGAGCTTCATGAGAGCAAGGACCCCGTTTGTCTTACCCTCGCTACACTACCTGCTCAGTGTGTGTTCTAGAACGGGGGAGATTATCTGTATGCATTTGCTAAATAAAGAAGAAGGGACAGGAAGAAGGAACAAGGAAAACATTATATCCAAAGCTTTGTTTAAAAAAAAAAAAAAAGTTAAATAATTTGTCCAGGCGTCATCTGGGGTTTGGAGGGATACCTTTGGGCCATAGAAAGCATTACCTCTCGTATTTTGCTGGTTTGTGGTTCATTGTTACCTTGAGGGGAAATTTTGAAAATCGGTGGCTAAGCATTGATTGACCCATGAACCAAGAGATCACCAGATGGATTCCTGGTCAGGGCACATGCCCAGGTTGGGGCTCCATCCCCAGTAGAGGGCATGCAGGAGGCAGCCAAGTGATGTTTCTCTCTCATTGATGTTTCTGTCTCTCTATCCCTCTCCCTTCCTCTCTCTCAAATCAATAAAAAAAAATTTTTTTTTAAAGAGAGAGAACGCAAAGAATGGACAAAACTGAGTCGTCACTTTCTGAGCGAGCAAAAGGTAAAGTCATCTTCAGCCTGATTGCATATTAGCTCCTCCTCTAAGCCCAGGGAGACCCCGGTCCTGCCTTCAGGGGCTCACCTGCTGGAGGGAGGTTGTCACTCAGAGACAGGTAACTGCAGGGTGTCAGGGAAGGACTGGACAGAGAGCCGGGGAGCTGGCGAGCAGCATGGGGCGAGCGTGTTATCCAAACATGTCAGTTTCTGGTGACAAATGGAGCCACCAGGGGGGTGGCGGCCTCCTCCAGAGCAAGCATGGCATGTGATGACGGGGGCCTGGACGCTGCCGCGTGTTAAGCCTCGGCCATAAATCGGATGATGTTCAAATGTGCCATCGTTGGGTCAGGTCAGTTTCCAAATCTGTCAACCCACTTACCTCGGCCCCGGGGCGGCCTCTGTAGGGAGAACTGCTGTCCCGAGCCCCCCTCCCACTTCACTGCCTTATGTCTGTGTGCAGACCGCTCGGGTTTGGACCATTCCAGATGGTCTTAGAAAGCCTGCTTCCTTAAAGTGCAAAAGCATCAGTGGACATTGCCGGGACTTACAAAATACACCTAGAAGAAAAAGGTTAGTTATCCCACCACCCAGGGAGAAGCACTGTTGAGATTGCAGTGTTTTTTCTTTGCATAGACATTTTTACACAAAAATGGGATCGTTCTGTTTTTATTTGTATTTTACTTCTTATTTGGAAATAACCTTAGACTCGCGGGGTACTGCAGAGAGCACAGGGGTCCCTTTATGCAGCTTTCCCCAGTGGTCACAGCCCCCAGACAATAGTATACTATCTGTGCATATTGTTGCCTAACCTTGAACAAGTTCTTACTCTAATGGGAACATCTGCCTGTGATGTTTCTGGGGTTTGCCCCCTGCAGTCTAGTTTTCACACTGCGGCCAGAGGCACTGGTTAAAACCTAAGGCTGACCCCAACCCTCTTTTACTGAAAACCCCCAGGGGTGCAAAGTCAAAGCCATAGTCGGATGGGGAGGCCCTGATGGTGGGACCAGCACCCACACCCACACTCCCTAAAGCTTTTGTCACTTTTGTCACTCTCCCCGTCACTCACTCTGCTCCGGACACACCCGCCTCTTTGCTAGTCTCCTAGCATCTCAGATGTGCACCTACCTCAGCACTGGCTGTTCCCTCTGTCTTGTATGCTCTTCCTGAAGGCACCCATCCGTATGGCCTCACCTCCTTCAAATCTTTGCTCAAATGTCATGTTCCCAATGAGAGTTCTGACCCCTCTATTTTAAATAACACCTTATACCTACCACCACTCCTGGAGCCTTCTCTTGTTGCTCTATATTTTTCCATAGCATATGGACTAGAGGCCTGGTGCACCAAATTTCGTGCACGGGTGGGGGTCCCTAGGCCTGGCTGGCGATCAGGACTGATTAGGTTCCCTGCCTCCCTGCCTCCCCCCCTCTTCCTTCCCTCGCTGCCCGTGTCCGCCGCCACCTACCCCCGTTCCCCATGCCAGCCTGGGGCCCGGCTCTGATCAGGTGATTGGGGCCTGCTGTCCTGGGGGAGGGACTGGGAAGTTGGCCAGCAGACCCCATCAGCGATTGGGGCCTGTGGGCTGGGGGCAGCTCCTGCGTTGAGCGTCTGCCCCCTGGTGGTCAGTGCGCATCATAGCGACTGGTCATTCCGGTCGTTTCAGTCATTCCATCTTAACGATCACTTAGGCTTTTATATATATAGATTGTTATATCTGTTATTCATTGTCTGATGTATGTTTCATAAGGAGGTACCCTGAGCACCTAGATCACACTGGTAATAATAGAGGCTGAACAAAATATCTATCAGTGAATAAATGAGTAGCGATTAAGAGCTTGGATTCTGTGTTCAAATCCCAGCTCTGCCACTTATGAGCTGTGCAACCTGGAGATCAAGTTACTTTTCTGTGCCTCGGTTGCCTCATCTGTAAAATGGGGGAATCATAATTCTCTGTCTCATAGGACTGTCGTGAGGATTACCTTAGTTAACACATACAAAGAGCTGGTGCAGCAGCGTCTGACATAAAGTAAATGATAAGCAAATGCTAACTACAATTGTTGTTTTACAGCATCGTTAATTATGTACCACAATTGATTTTAACAGTAGCTGGATATTTAATTGCTTTCCATTTCTCATGAGTTTATAGAAAAGTACAGTAAGCTTCCTGATATCTAGACTTTGCATATACCCTTAATTATTCCTTTAAGAAAAAAAAACATTTGTGGTTGGCTTTTTATTTACTTTTTGACCATAAACATATCTCCCCAATCAGGCTATTTTTCTTACTGCATACAAATTTCTTTTGCTTTGTTTTTCTATCACCAAAGTATCTCATATCTCATGGGTTGTACAAACAGCCCTCAAGCAATACTTTTTGAGTAAATGAATATATAAGTGATTAGAAAGTGTGCTTTATTCTCCTAGTACAAGCTGATGCATTAATAAACTGTGACCTCAGGGTTCCATAAACAGCACATAGCGGGCTCCTGTGGCAGAGACTGCTCTTGTCCCCAGGTATCCATTCTCCTATTCTTCTCCAAAAGCAAAAACCCTGACTGATAGCAGGACACATTGCGGTCTAGACCAGTGATGGCGAACCTATGACACGCGTGTCAGAGGTGACACGTGAACTCATTTTTTTTGGTTGATTTTTCTTTGTTAAATGGCATTTAAATATATAAAATAAATATCAAAAATATAAATCTTTGTTTTACTATGGTTGCAAATATCAAAAAATTTCTATATGTGACACGGCACCAGAGTTAAGTTAGGGTTTTTCAAAATGCTGACACGCCGAGCTCAAAAGGTTCACCATCACTGCTCTAGAAGCAGGAGCGGGGAGGCCTCGGGGGCTGAGTGCTGAACACACCCCGGGACAGGCAGTTTGTTCCAGGTCAGCCTGGCCACCCTCAGCTTATGTAACTTCCCAGTAATGGCCTTGGGGAAGGCATGTGGTCTCTCTCCTTCCTCTTTGGAGGTAGGCAGATATTGACGTGATTTCTGGAGCTCCTGTAGTGGGAAACAATTTGACGATAATAGAAAGGCTAGAAGGAATAGCCTCAGTTCCTAATAATTCTGGAATTGCTATATTGGCACTCTACTGTGTACTTGTCAGGAATAAACTCATCTCTTGTTGATTAGAGAGAGAGGGGAAGGAAGTGAGAGAGAGAGAGAGAAACATGGATGAGTGAGAACCATTGATTGGTTGCCTCCTGCATGCCCCCTACTGGGGATCGAGCCCAAAACCCGGGCATGTGCCCTGACTAGTGCATGGAAGGACACCCAACCACTTGAGCCACACCGGCCAGGGCTAAACAACTCTTAATTTGAGTTTTCTATGCTGCACAGCCAGAACCAACCCTACCTCATTCAGGATTCAAAAGTTTTTCTTGACTGAATGAGTGAACAGTATGTACATACATTCCTAAGTTTGAGTCATAAACTACATTTCTAACCCTGTACCTTCTAAAATCTGCTGCCGGTCTCTGGTATCTCTATAAGGTGATATATGGTGTAGGATGCATTTGTATACAAAGATCCCCCTGTTTGGTTTAGACAAAGACTTTAGTTGTCTCAGAAAGCAAAAAATCTTGTATCTCCAATTTGACTTACCAGTTCAGTAATGTCATCCAGGACATAGGCTCTTCATCCTCCCTTTCCCCTTTCTCAGCATTTCACTGATATCTTACCTCATAGTCCCAGTTGCCATCACACCAATATCACATTCTCATCCAGCAAAGGGAAATGGAATAAGGGGCAAAAGTTGTTTGTTTGTTTTTCCTGTGGTAGCTCCCTTTTTTTTTTGTCAGGGAGAAAAACCTTTTCAGAGGCCCCCAGCTGATATCCATCTCATTGGCCAGAATTGGGTCACGTGACCTGCTCAAGAATAATCACTGAGGAAAGGCAACAGATTTCCTCTGACTGATACAGACCAGCTGGTCCTTAGAGAGTAGAGTGCATGGAATCCTGGGGTCTCTGAGACCCTCCGAGTCAGGGGGTTGCGAGGTCAAATGATTTTTATCAGAATGCTAAAAAGGGATTGGCCTCGTTTCATTGTGTGGACATTTGCACTAACAGTGCCAAAGCAACTGGGGGTGAAATCGCTATGCCTCACTCCAATGACACCCGGTCAGCAAATTGCTAGTGGTCAGCATTTTCCTCACTGCCCTGCGCTCAGTTGGGTGTGCAGGAGGCGGCTGATCGATGTTTCTCTCTCACTGATGTTTCTAACTCTCTATCCTTCTCCCTCCTTCTCTGTAAAAAAAATCAATAAAATATATTTTAAAAAATAAATAAATAAAAATAAACGTCCTGATGAAGCAGTAAAATTTAATTCACCCTTGAGTACACTTTTTTTTTTTCAGTCCTTATGTGAAACAGGAAGTTCTATGAAGAAAGCTGTCCAGCCCTGCGCTGCCATGCCCTCTGGCGGGAAAGCGCGTGTTTGAATTTCGAGCTGAACTAGCTGCATTTCTCATGGAACACTGTTTTTATACCCAAGTACAGCTGACACACTGGCTTCTCAAACTTCAGTGTTTGGCAGACTTTTGCCAGGAGATGAATGAAGTAAACATGTCATTTCAAAGACAACAGCACACAGTATTTGTTGCCAATGATAACATTGGAGCTTTCAAGCAAAAATTAGAATTTCAAAATATTAGACCCACCACCGTGACCCTGATTGCTTCCCAGTACTCAGGCTCTTGCCTAATGAAATCAGTGGTGATGTTGACCAATGTGACTTTTTTGAATACTTCATGATGAAATGTGCCAACATCCAGATCTGTGTGACAAGTATTTTTCATTTGACCAATGCACGCTGTTAAAAAAAATTACGCATGGGTAAAAGATCTCTTCAGAGTGTAAGTGCAATAGGTTTTGATGTGACAGACCATGTGTAAAGTCCATCGGTATGATTTCAGGGTCCATAGACAGCTAACCTTCTAAAAAAACGACCACTTGTGCAGCCTGGGTGAGGTATCAAGTTAGACTCTCCTCAGCTCTCTAAAAGGCCATTACAATCCTTCAGTCTTTTCCAAACGCATATCTGTGAGAGCCAATGTCTTCCCTCGCCCTTCAACCAAAGCAACACGGCTCAGGGACTGAATGCAGAAGCAGATGTGAGACTCCGCTGTCTTCTATTAAAGCTGGGCATCAATGAGATTTGCAAAAAAAACTATAAAAAACCGAGTGCCTCTCTTCTCAATAAAGGTTTTGTTTGTGTGGGAGTTTTTCTTTTTTAATATATTTTTATTGATTTCAGAGAGGAAGGGAGAGGGAGAGATAGAAACATCAATGATGAGAGAGAATCATTGATCGGCTGCCTCCTGCACGCCCCCTACTAGGGATCGAGCCCAAAACCCAGGCATGTGTCTTTGACCGGAATCGAACCCGGGACCCTTCAGTCCATAGGCTGACACTCTATCCATTGAGCCAAACCAGCTAGGATGGTCTTGTTTTCTATGTCAAAATATTGTTCCACACATAATTCATAAAATTGTTGTTTATGTGTGTAATTATGGAATGGGATTGTTGTCGTTCTAAGTCTAAGTGAGTTAACAAACAAGTATTTCCTTAGTTCATTCTAAGTGGGTGCATTGGGATCCGTCAACTGAGAACTGCTGGTTTAGATGAATCCAGGAGGCAGGCACCAGTTGGTCTGCACAAAATCAGGGTCTTGTTAGAAGGAATGAGAGGGAATGACTGTTCAGGAGGGAATGGCTGTCCACCTCCTGTCCAAGAACTCAGATTGTCCGTACAGCTTGTGTATAGTGAAGAACCTGTGTCTGTTTCCTGTTGTTGTTACTTGAGTATAGGATCCTGTGTGAACTTACACGTTCTGTGTGGCGCTGAGCTTCATGGCTAAGTGTTCTGGTACTAGTCAGTGTGTTACCCTCTGCACTGCCTTCACCTATACAGGAGCCTCACTGTCCCGATCTGTAAAATGGGACCATCGGCCCCTCTCCCCATTTTGCAGATTCCGGCTCTGGTGGGTGAGCAATGAGGCATGTGAGCACCTGGCACCATGCTTTGTGCTGGTGGTCCCCTCTCCTTTTGACTGTTATTGATGGTGTAAGTCACAGTCATTCTCATAAACCCTCAGTGCCTGGAGGAGCTGAGGCTTACCAAGGGGATGTCTTCACATGACACACAGTGAAACGACTAGATGACACGTGTGGGCACTATCCCAGCAGAACTGAAAGCTGCACGTGACCAGGCAGTGGTGATAGGGTCCTCCCCTGCCCTCTCTCATGTATATATATATAACTATATGTGAGTGTGTGTCTGCATGGACATATTCCACTCCTGACCTGATACCCTACCATGAAGGAAACAGATCTAGTAAGCAGTTTCCCGCTACCTTTTATGGGCTTATTGCATTGTCCCCACTAGGATTTCAATTGGTGTTTTCAGAAAGGTTTCCTTTTCAGTTAATAGAAATGTTCTGGGTCGAAATAGTGTGGCAGGATGCACAACATTGTGAATGGACCGTCTCTTATACACCCTTGGATTTTACACTTCAAAGTAGTTAAAACGGTATGTTTTATGTCATGTGTATTATACCACAATAAATATAGGGAGTCCCAAGGGACTTCCAGTCCCTCACAGGGGCACCAGGAGAGGGGGTCCCGACACTCAGATCCCTCACCCCAGCGCATCCCTCGTGCTGGAGGCCAGGGCCCCTCACGACTCGATTGTGCATCCGCCTGTCCCGGCTCTTCTTTTCCTCCTGATGTTACAAGTAAACACAGACAGACAAACAGAAGTCTTAAGCAGAAAGGCCGGCCTGTGGCTTTTACCGGAATGGAGCTGTCCTTCCCTGGAACGAGGGACCATCACTTTCTAAAGCCACAGCAAGAAGTGTGTTCACGGACAGTGTCCTCGTGGGTCCTCATTTTGAGGGAGGGCAGTGCCTTCACGGCACGGTGTAGACGTGTAGGATGCACCGAGAGCGGCTCAGGGACCCGCCGTCCACTCACTGTACTCATGTTATCAAAGACCCCATAAAACCGAGTGCTTTCCTCGG